AAATAAAGACCTTAGATTCACCATGATATGAACAACCCGATTGTCAGCAAGTCTGACTCGGTCACCTGGGGATTTGAACCCTGGACCTTCAGAGTAGCTGACTTATTGACTGAGGTACTGGTTAGTTTCCACACACCTTCTCACAAATTGAGGTAGTGATGTCACATGTGCCAGAGCCGGATAGTTTTGTCAGTTCAAACTTAAAACAACAGTCAAGATGTAGGTGAGAAAATTCTGATTTTGGGTGTGTTGTGAATTATTTTGGTGGCATTTTATCCAAAATTGAGTTAAAAAGAAAATGTTGTGCATACTGTACAAGTTACAGCAAGATACTGTAGCATGGCTAAATTAGTTATGAATTTTAATAAATTTATGAGAGTTAATACCCAATTATGAATTTTAATATTCATAAAATCAAAAAATTATTCCTCGTTTCGGGGCACCACCGGAGTTGTTATAATCTTAGAGTCTCCGGACCTCTAGGTAGCTTTTAATAATTATACAATTATTACTAGTGATCAGTTAGTTAATAATTGCTAACCAGTTTTATGGTCAGGGATAGCACTTAGAGAAAGCAACTTTCCACCCCCCTTCCGTTGGGGTCTCTTTAGCAGTCTGTTGAAGTTGATCTTTAACCCCCCTGCTCCTCTCTGGGAGAGGAAAAGGGGAATTTGGAGTAGCTCCAAATTTATTTGACATAAAATGCACAAATCCACACGGTTGTCCCACTACAATACTGAATATCACTGCAGACTCAGCGTTTGACCGATCTGAAAACCCTTTGAAACACTTGATATTGGCCATCTGGAGAACGACTCTGTCGAGTTTGGTAGCGTTTGAAGAAAGTCTTGTGGAGATGTAGATGTTAATTGATTTAGCATATTCTGTGTATAAGTGTAAAGTATAGAGTGACTGACTTCTGAATTGACCATAGGTTGCAATGAGGCAAACGTTACTCACATATCAGTGGATGTGGTGAATAAATTTAAGCTCTCTAGGATGTACGGATGATTTTCTTGAGAAATGTCAAGAAATTTACATTTCTTGTAATAAGCCACGCCCACTTTGCGCAATCATTTTCACATTTTATACATCAGCTGAGTAGTGACCCAAGATTGTACAAACCGAATTTCGTACGAATCCATCCAGCGAATTACGAGGTATAGACTTTTTGCAAGTGTAGTGCCACCTAATGGAAGAATATCCCAGGACTGCCCAGCGAAGCTCGGGCCGAGCATCTGAGCAGACATGTCAAGTTTGGTTACAATAGCTTAAGCCAATTTTAATTTACGGGCATTTATGTAAAATTGTATAGACACAAAAATAAAAATTTATGAAAAAAAACAAAACAAATTGACGTATCAAAATTCTTTTGATTACTTTTGATCAGCGATGTCCATAGATGATCCTGCCAAAGTTTCAGGTCGATTGGCAAAACTAGAGAAAAGTGATAAAAAGTTGTATAATTTGACATTTTTGGAGAAGACGATTTGAGCAAAGATGCAGATGAATCCAGAGATTAAAATACTCAAAGAAGTTTGACTCTAAACAAAGCCGTTTTCGAGATAATTGCAAAAACGCAAAGTTGATTGTTATAGCGCCACCATGAGGTCTATGAGGGCCTGAGTTGTGGGTGGAATTTGCAACCTACGTGCCAAATTTGGTGAGTTTTCTACCCAAACACTTTTAACGGAGAAAAAGTAGAAGAAAGAAAGAAAGAAGAATAATCAGAACAAAACCAATAGGGCTCCAGCAGCTCCGCTGCTTGGATCCCTAATAATGTATTTGATCAATACATTAATGTATTCAGGCAATTCAGTATTCTTCTGCTTGGCTGTGTGAAGCTGAAGGTTATCTTTACTCATTTGGCATCTTGGTTGTGAAAAAAAAGTAAAAGTATTTTACTTTTATTTTAATTATGCCTGCAGCCCAATGCCACAGGTTAGTGTGAAGATTTTTCTTGATTTTTAAGTTATGTTTAAGTTTAAGTTATGTATTCCAATAACACCAAAAGAATTAAAATGATTTATTGCCTTGTAAAAAATAAACAAATTATTAATGAAACTATGTCCCTCTCCTTGGTGCATTAATTTATTCTAAATATATACTAGTAGCATAGAAAACATGCACATCCTTTGCTGTTGCCTGCTCCTGTGATAAACCTGAATACTGAAGAAGACCGTGGTCTCTGTGTGAACTGATTATTTTGTAGAAAAGTAAAAATGTTGAGGATAAGTATTGAATAATTGCTTGAGTGTGAGGGAATTAAAATAAATTGGAAGGAAGTTAGAGTTGTGTTAATGTATTTAATGTTTTGTTTTAAAAAAAAAAAGATTATGAGAAGTGCACTTGAGCCCCTTCCCACCAAAATGTCTGTGCATGTCCCTGTGGAAAACTGTGGATTCATATTGACTAATTAAAATGATGATTAGCTGGGCAGACTGGGCAACATAGATGCACATCTCTCAGTAAATAATAAACATCACGTATTCAATCAAGTCTGTAGTATTATTATTATATAGTATTTTACATTTGAAAATGTATTAAAATAGTGGCCCTGATAAAGCTGACAACATTATTATCTAGCAAGTATTGTTATCTATAAATTACAGGCACTATGCTGAAGTTTGTCAGTAGATGCTGGATCATCAGCACAGACCCAGTACAGACCTCTTTAGCAGGTCCCACAGACACAGGTGAAATACAAGTAGCTTCGGCCAGTGGCCTACTTGCATAACCATAGATGTACAGCATAGGTGTCATTTACACTGGGGACGCTGGGGACATGTCTCCACCCCTTCTCAGCACAAAGTGACACCCTTGATATGCAGCCAGCATCAGGTACAAGCAGCTCAGACCCTAACGGAACAGTAGATTGGCTCCAGTCTTAAGAGACTTTTATGAGGACTGAGTTAGTGCGCATTATGTAAGCTGTTGATAAGGATCCTGTTTAAAGTGGCTACTGTCTGAATTTAACCTGATAAAATATTTGGAGTAATGATTACTATGTATGCATGCATGTAAGATTGCTTTCATTTTATTATATTTTCATGTGCGTATATCAGTGGGTATGTGCCTAGCCTACATTTAGGCAGCATACATATTTATTTAAATTATTACAGCAAATGAATGCAGTTGCTCACAATATAGTAAATATGGTATAAATTAAATAATTAAGTTTAGGCTATGCCTTGGTGCCTAGACCTGCCAACAAATGCCTGCTAGAAGAAAACAAAACACCCCACAGTTCCTCAGACCTGCAGACCGCAACTGACTTCAATCTCTCTCCTAAAATATCTTCAGATACCTGGCCGACATCATGAAATTTTGTTTTAACTGACAACAACATTCGATGTGGACTGATATTGTTTTGAAATACTATAGAGATATATTAATTAATTAATAATTATAATTAATAATTATATTAATGGCATTCAGGCTAGCTAGTGTTTTCCATAGCCAACTAAAATATCCCCTCTCCTTTACCTCAAATAAACTAGTAATTAAGAGGTAAAGTTAAAGAAGTAACTAAGTAGTCATTAACAACAACTTACAGTTTCACTCTGTATCACTCACTCCATTGCATCAATCTTCCTTCACCATTCCTGTGTCAGTGTGGTAAGAGCAGCGATGGAAAGCAGCCTCCTTCAAGGTCCTAGTGCCCGATCAGGATGCAAATGAATAAATAGTAAAATACAACAACATTCAGCATGAAGCCACAGCCATTAAAAAGACTTGCAGTGAATTATCTTTGCATGTTAATTGTTTTCAGAACAATGGTATGTAAAACTTCACTGGCAGAACAAAACTGTGGAAATACCCTAAAACGTAGTTGCCTAGATGGTTTAATTTAATTTACTGTATTTGATTTGTACACATTCTTGTTCACAAATAACCTGTCTTGTTGCATGGTAACACACACACACACACACACACACACACACACACACACACACACCAAGAATCACATCCACAAAGACTTGAGGCACGTTATTTCCCATATCAGTGTAACAAAAGCAAATTTATTCCCTTTACAGCAAAAATCTGAGCCCTTGGCCTCCACAGGAGCAGAAAAATGCCAAAGTCGATCAGATGTGCGGGTGTTTTCTTTGACAGAGGCGCAGATCCCCGCTGGTACTGCAAAGTTACATAAATACAGAATGCAAAGCAGTTTCTAAGCTTGAATATTGGCAGCGATGTTGACGAGGGAAGATTGTCCTGGATGCTTCTTGTCAGTGTTTGCTGGATGAAAACAGTGCATTTTATCCTTCAGTAGAAGAGAAGAAGTGAAAGCGGGGTCTCAGTGAGAGTAGGCGCTCTTGGGAAGAGCCTCCAAATAGGCAAAGACAACAAAGATTTATGCTCTTCACCTACAGGGCAGCATTATTTAGCTTAGTAAATACTGTACATCCACTGTGGTAAATATGGATACAGGCACACAGAAGGCAGCCAAAGCAACCGGGTTCTCAGTTAGGCCTATCTATCAGAAATAACTGGAGCTTCATGAGCGAACAGGGAAAGTAAGACGTGTTAAAGCTATTAGTGTTAATCAATTTAAAGGTTAATCGTTAATCAACAAGTCTGATTATAAGCTAATCTTTAAAGTCCTGTTTCAAGACCAAAATACCAAACATTTGGAGGTTAAAGCTTTTAAAATGTGAGGATTTGCTGCTTCTCTCTCCTGTATATGAAATACCTTTGAGTCTTCACCTTGGGAATACCAAAAAATGAACCAAAATAATTTGCACAGATTGAGAAAATTTCACTGACAATCCTGTGTACATGACACCCAAAGTGGCATAAATAAGTTTTATAGTTCTGATTTCATACTATGAAAGCTCAGTCCATGAACTCAACTTCTAAAATTGCCTTTTAAGCCATTTCACCATGAAATACATCAAACACTAATTCCCTGAATACAAATTACTGAACTGAAATAACATCATTGATAGTAAAATCCTTTTACTTTTCTCGCTCTGGTCTGCTGTGATATCCAACAGGGAGGACGCGCTGCCTCCTGACAGCCACCTGGTCTGTCGCTATACGAGCCGGAGCACCAGTCAGCACCCACAGGATACTTACTATCAGGTGGGCGGAACAGAAGTGAGCTCTTTCTATGAAGGATGCAATCACACTCCCTCCAGCAACAGCCACGGACCCACACCGGTCAAATACACAGCAGTTGAATATGACAGCAAGTTCGGATACGCAGTCTGACGATCAACAACAACAGAGCTGAACTGAGATGCCTTTAGATCTTATTGTAATGTTTGAATAGAAGCTTCAAGACACTTGGGACACTGAATATTTGGGGCAGCAGGAGTCTGGCACAGAGTCTATTCAAAGCTGTGCAGTGTGATGATTTTATAACATTGTTCATGTTAATTGCTTTAGAGGTTCAGTGTGTAAGTTTGTTGCGGCATGTAGATCGAAATGGCACATTCTAAGGTAATAAAAACATTATGTATATTATATAAGGTCTTTATACACCACTGAAAACATAGATCTGTATATAATATTTTGCATTTCTGTCACTAGATCCTCCTAAATATCTGACACTGAACCTTTAAGATAATCTTAGTCCGATAAGAACTTTTCTTATTTCATTACTAGATAATGTATCATTATCATCTTAAAATCAACATACATGTAATGTATAAATATTTTTAAAAAACATAATGAAAAAGACTTTATTCTATAAGCTCTAATTTTCATTTTTAACTACACACTGAAATAAATGGTTTTCTGGAATGCTGAAGTGGAACCTTGGGTGTTTTTATCATTTGCAGCAAAACAAAAGCTCAAAATACAACTCAAAACTCAAAATGATTCAGTCGTATATTTAAACCAAAAGAGAAATATTTATTTCATGATAGACCTCATTTCGGAATACTCAACCATTCAAAAAATTTACACAATTAAGTACTTATTTTTTGAGGATGTACTGACAGGAGTTGAAATATCAATAGCCACATGCAATGGGTTTTTGTCCACTACATAAACAGCGACTAGAACCCCCCCTTCCCCTCGTTTAAGACAACATGGAGGTCTCCCTCACACAGTGGTAGGACTTTGTGTATTTCGGGGCGATCAGCCTTTGCAATAACACACATCATAGACAGTCAAAAGTTTAGAAACTAAATATATCAGCATCTTCTGCTCCATAAGTTTTTGTGAACCAGCCAGAGCTGATGTGCTCAGTGTTTGCACTTTACTTCTCCCCGGGGTGCAAGAAGGCTCTGACAGTGAGTTGAAATCGTTTTGATAACTGGGGGTGGGGTGGTGATGGTGCAGTAGACACATGCCTTTGGTGTGAGAGACCTGGGTTCAATTCCCCACAGTGACACATCCACCAATGTATCCTAGAGCAAGACACTTAAACCATAGTTGCTCCAGAGGCATGTGACCTCTGAAATACTTAGCAATTGTAAGTCGCTTTGGAGAACACCATCAGCTAAATGTAACGCATGTAACTGATTTATTTTTTAACCATTTGAAGCAAGACCTCAGTCTTAATAAATTTTTTTTCTTCCTTTTTCTGGAAAAAAAAAAACGTAAGAAAAGACAATTTGGTGTAAGCTGCAAGCAATATCTCAATACTAAAATGTGCAGGTGGAATTTATGAAGGCTATAGGCAAAGCCATATAAACAGAGATGGTCAATATGCTGTACATCAAATTAAATGTAAACATCATTTGAACTAACCTTTTATAGAAAGCTGAGCTGGCAGGGTCAATAAACATCTGAATATCTGTGTAACTAGAATTGGAAAGTTGTCTGGTACAGTACATCTATGCGCTCAATAGAAAACTGATTAAAGCAGTATGCCAACACACTGCAGTCTAATGGCTGTAAATCTGTAAAAGTATTTATGGCACTAGGGCATTACTGGTAGTAAATGGAAACACTGAGCACTGCACCCCTAGAAAATCACAAAATGATGTGGCTTAATGTTAATTAGCACACAAAGTTTTCCTTCAGATTAAAAATCTTTTGACACTGTTTTCACCAGTCTGCACAGCACCAAAACGGATTTCACATATGGAAAATGATTAACATTAAAAGAAACTTCCCATCACCTGATCATCTGTAAAAGTAAGGCAAGTTACGAAAAATCATAGCAATCCATCAAACTCCATGCAGACATTAAAACATGGCTGATTTTGGCTTTAAATGACAACAACAACTGTTGGTCCAGTTGTCAACAATTAAAAAATAATCTTGATTCTGTGCAACAAAAAAAAATCAATCAATAAAACAAGGAACACAGAGTTTTAAAAGTGTGAAGTGGCAGTCGAGTGGAATGTCTTGCTGTTTCCCTTTCGCATCCAGCTGATTGCACCCATAGACGTATGACGCCAAGACTGATGTGAACTGTGTATGTGATTCCTGTTGACTATAAAAACCCTCCAACTGTCCATCCAGTCACCAGTTTGGATAAGTTAAATGCTTCACCATCTTGTTTTTGAGGGCTCAGAAGGCAAGCCGTCCCGGTATGTTGTAGAAGTGCCTCCCCCCCCCTCCTTTAGTAAAGTCCACTGGATGTGGACGAACTGTCTTTTAGGATGGCAATGTTCTTTACTGGCTGATGTTGAGGTTCAGTAAGCAACGACCATTCTTCAAAGGCACCGTACTGTACATTGGTCTTTGTGTGTGTGTGTGTGTGTGTTTGTGTGGGCCGCACATGGGCACATGCATACATGGAGAAGTAAAACCAGTCAACAAAGTCGATTCCCTCCACTGGTGTCAGCCCACAAGGCATCACCATGACAACTAAGGCAAAATCTCTCAACATGAAAACAGAGCATCTGTCCTTTTTCTTCTTATTTTAGTTTTCCTCCTCCGATTCCTTGCTGTTACTTTAATCAACTTCCCCACAATAATCATTAGTAATGATAATAATCTCTATTCAATAAATTATCTATACTGTACAATTATTTCACCTCGCATAGAGACCTGCAACAAAGGGGAGCCTTTTTCAAAGTAAAGCTATCCACAGTCAATGTTTGCCGTGTCCTCAGTTCAATAAAGCCTCTACAGAGCGCACAGAGGCTGACGGACAGCAAGCCTGTTTTTTCTTCTTTCCTGTACAGAAATTAAACAGGACATCCTGCCAGAAACAACCCCCCCCCCAAAAAAAACAAACAAAACAAACATGAGCAAAGCTGATGCATAATTGAAGATAGAGAAATGGGGTAGAAACACTCGCTGAAAAATGAGTATCCAGCAAAAAATAACCAAACAAATAAAAAAACAGTCTTGTTTTGTATATCTTGTTATTTTCCTGGAGAGAGTGAGTAATTTTCTCTGAGAACAGTAGATAGAAGATGGTTCCTGATTTAAAGGGAGCAAGACCAACAAACATCCAAGCTCTACTGCACTCCTTCTTCATCCACGTAGGTTGAGGGAAACCATCCAATCTGAAACATAAAACGTTAATTATGAGAGCTATAGACTCTTTATAGTAGCAAATGCAAACACGGGATGTTAATTGTGTTTATTCAGATGCCTTTTTTACATCCAGTGTAGCTGTACATGCAGTGAGATAAACATTTGGTAACACTAAATTGAATCCATTGTGTGTGTAGCATGAATGCAGATTAGACTAATGCCGCTCAGAATACTTTAATGCTTTAATTTGCTAGAGGATGTGCATCCTTTTTAGATGTAGAAGCCTCATCCCTGGTCTAAAAAATATTTGAAGGCTACTTCAAATACTACTTCAGCTGTTGCCAGGCAACAACTTCTCCTCCCTGCAGGAGTAGTGAGTGCTGAACTGACAGAGATAGTACCAACACAATATGCATTTAAAGACCATACGTATTTATAGAGCATACACATTATATTTGTATCACTGGCAAATTGTCATTATAAAAGTGGGATAATGCACCCTGATCCATGCGGTGATGAAAAATAACACGCTCCATGAAGCATGCATGTTGTGTTGTGTTGTGATGTTTCTATGAGTGCTTGGCTAAGCATTGATTCTTTCTTCCTCACATGGCCTTAATGAGACAACTCTAAAATGATGATTTAGGTGCTACCAAAGTTTTGACATGTCAGAAATGGTGGGGGTGGGAGGCATTTACACCTGGCTAAGATCCGATAACAGTGCGAGCCAGGGCACCTCCAGAAGTGGTGTGGTTAATGGGACATTTTGATTGCAATGCATTCTGTGAGAATTAGCATACTGCAGTGACAGGTGCATATTTCCTGAACCAGATTCCAATTGCACGTTAACACCTGGTGTCCATGAGATCTGACCTACATGGAGTGTCTCTTTATTCAACCAGCATTTCTGAGTCTGTTTCCCTAGATATGCTCTTTGTAAATCAATCAAAAAAACTTGTTTTCATAAAAGTCCTTGAAGGAGTAAAAAGCAAGATGGCAACACGCTATAATGAAATCAAAATGAGACAGCTACATTACCTCAGCTCGGACTGCACTACAGTACAAACCAGTTTAGCTGTACAGTACAATTCTAAAGTAGATACACCCACTCTGGCTCCACAGCAACACATGAACACTGTCAAATTTAAAACCTAATGAGGAACATCCCTAGAATAAAAAGCAGACATCACATCCAGCCTATGAAACTGGCACATTTCCCAGCAGCCAGACTTTTCTATTTCAACCAACTGCTTTTAATATTAATGGATTTATTGTTAAATCTAGTCACTTTGACACAAAAGCCCACATAAGTTGAGGTAGAGTGTCTAAATACTTGGTTTGGTCTTTGTACATCCCTAACTTACTTAACTTACTTAAACTTAATCAAACAGTACTAATCTGCAAAGATTACAACATCCAAAACATTCTCCATTTATGTGGGCTTTTCAGTCTGTGGCCATTATTTCCTTTATCAGTTCAGTGAACAGACTTCCGTAGTTTACTCACTCGTCCGTTGGCCTCTCCTTTCCACCAGCCCTGGTCTCCACCGATCTTGCTGTAGATTTTGACAATATCCCCTTCTCGCAGTGACAGCTCTCGCATGTCTCGTGCTGCAAAGTTATACCTGGCCACTGCTGTACTGACCACCCGAGGAGTAAACACTGCGAAGACGGAAATGGCGTTCACATGGTAAGAATTTAACACCTTATATCACACACACATATATATATATATATATATATATATATATATATATAAATTACAGACAGAAATACTGGATTTTGTGGTAGTAATTAGTTGTGAAGAAAGATCAGAAGGAAGAGAGTCAGTTCCGTTTCTAGCACATAGTCACACAATGACAAATGAGCATGATGGGAAAGGACATGTTGTTTCATCATGGGAGAGGAAATTGGTTTTCTTTTCTTGATTTAATGAGGGAGTGTCATCCTGGGAAGAACTGAAATGTTCTCGTTAATGAAAAGAGCGCCACAGAGAAGAAGTAATGAAGTCGAGAGCACAATGGTTTATTATGAAATTACAAGCAATGAGGTGCGGGAAGACAACAGGAGCAAGAAAAGAAAGAAAAACCTGAGTACCTGACCAAAAGGGAGCTGAGCTCTGAGAGGAGGAGAAGTTGAGGCCCTGCGGACTGAGGAAGGAGAAGTTGTAGGAGGCGCAGGTGGCTGCTGAGAGGAGAAGAGATAGAGGAGGAAATAAAGCAGGAAAATGTTCTGAAGAGCAAGCAGAGCTGGAGACAGAGGCAGAGTTAAAAACAGAAAAGCTGGTGCATTGAAGTTGTCTCTCTCTTAAAGATAGGGTTCTGTTTCCATGATTTTTATTCGTGATAATTGTGTTGTCATGATTTGACAATAGTTTTAGTGGGATGACTGACAACAACTATTTTTGTTATTTAACTGCAAACAGGATCGGTGTCGGAATTGTCAGTTTTTGCACTGATGTAAAAAGACTTAAAGAGACTCCTGTTTTGTTCCCAGTTGGGCAGTAATTACTCTAATGTCGCATGTGAACTAACTGACTCAATTTTCATGTAATGGAAATTAGGTAAAACCAGAACACACAATTTGAAATTCTACTTGTTTATTCTACATGTATGAATTCTACATAATGTCTGCTGGACTTTTAATGTATAATACATGAACAGGTTACATCTTCTGCTCTTTGAACCATATTTCAGCTGCTTTACAGCCTCCCAGACAATGTTTGACTGGACTCTTACTCCATTACCAAACACCACATAATGGTGCAGAAAGCATAGCTTTTAAAGGAAATGAGAGAAGCGGATGTAATTGGCCACGGCTTTTAGCAGCCCCTGAACAAACCCACTGATAATATACTCATATATGATCATAGATGCTTCATCATAATAGCTCCTTCCTAATCCCACCACTGTCTCCATGCACACCTGCAGGGTGTGAGGCACCTGCAACTACTAAAATACAAAAACTATGCTTGAAAACACAACAACAGAGAGAGTGAGAGCACATTGTCATCAGCAAAGGCTCAATTGTCTCCAATCATATCCAAATTCAGCCAAAACAGAAGGGAAACAATCTTGGTGGTGTGGCCAGTTCTTCCTGCAGATTGAACAAAAGGCAGGCCAATGTAGGACAGAAGCCAGTGCAAGGCCAGAGCCAGTACTGATACAGTCTAACAGGCAGAGAGGGCTGCCAATTCAGACAGCCAGTCCACGGGCCTCTGAGTTAGCTGACAAACTCTTTCTCTTTGTCTTTCTCTCTTTATCTATTTTTCACTGCTTGTCTCCTTTACTCCCCTATTCCCCTCTGGACTTCCTCCTTTCCACTCTGTATGAGTCAGGAGAGTCACTGGCCTGAGGAGAGGAAGACAGCACCAGTGAAGACAATGAGAGTGGGAGGTAGTCTGTCTCAATTATTTTACTCTTCCTTGCTATACCCACAGCGAAGATGGTAACGGATTCAATTTGTAAGCTAGACCTGCACATTATAACATCTATATAACGTTGTACAATACGTACTGTCATATTCATTTATCATTCACTATCCTCCATTTATCCGGGTCCGGCTCACGATGGCAGCCAGCTAACCAAAGGAGCCCATCCGAGGGTACTGCCAGAGGCCAGATTGCATAATTCCTCCAGCTTGTACCGGGTCTGACCAGTGGTCTACTTCTAGCTGGAAAAGCTATGGATACCGCCACAGTAGTCCGAGGAGAAGCAGTTCAGCTGATATTCCATCCAGATGTCTAAGTTTCTCACCCTACCTCTAGGGGTAAACTTAACCAGGAGACTCATTTCATTCACTTCTATCTGTGATCTAATTCTTTTGGGCATTACCCAAAGCTCGTGACCATAGGCGGGGGTTGTAACCTAGGTAGACTGGTAAATCAAGAATGATTCCACAACCCTTACGGACAACATTGGGAAAAAGCTTCCTCGCCGAGAACAGAAAGAGTGGGGCCCTCAACTGGAGCCCTGTCTAAAGGGAAAGCTCACTGGCAAGTGCCTGGTGGCCGACAATTGAAGGGACGATCGACAATTGGTTGATCTGACGCCAACGTCCAGGCAATTTTAACTCACTTACTATGAGCTTACTTACCAAGATGTTATAAAAATTAATCTAGAACCTGCTCCTTACTCTGTATTTAGATATGCTTCTGGTGGAGAGGCATGTCCGTCTGCTGAGCCTCTGTAATCAGCACGAGTGACAAGCCTCAATCCTTAATTACAGTTTGCTGTCTCTTTTCAATGGATCAGTGAATGTGGACACCCCACATCCCCATTCTCCCTAGTTTAATAAAAGGGTTCACACTTGCACACCCCTTTTAAATAGCTTGCAGATAGGCAGTGTGATATCCTTAGGCTCACCTTCGGCATGTGCATACAACTTTCGTACGCACAGTTTAAGCACAGATTTGTGCGTAAACGGAATGTAAACAAACTTTTGTTCGGCTACAAGAAAACTCCATAGGGCCCTTTTAATGGTTCATGTTGTTCATTTTCCACTGGCCAAGCAGGATTACTATTCATGAAACAAAACTGCATCAGCGAGGTAACAAGAAAGAAAGGTAATTGGACTGTCATTTATCAGCTCTAATGTACGAAATTGTATGATTTTGATTAGCATATTGTGTTGCTTGCGGAGTAGCGATAGAGCAGGCTATGGTCAGGCTGTGTGTTGGTATTGGTTGATATGTGATACCAGGTTGAAAGCCATTGCATTCTTATTTTGTGCACAAGATTCTGGAGAAAAGGAACACTTGGAAGGCTTACCTGGCGAGCGTGTGCTGGCCCGCGTTAGCGAACGTTCTCTTGACTTGTAGGGGTATCGCAATGTGGTATCTAACAACTTAAAGCTTTCTTTCAGTGAATGGGACTGATAGTACTCCACCAGCTCCTGTTATAATAAACAGTACAGAAGGATTAAAAATTGTGACCAACTGATTTCTTTTTTCTTTTGACTGTGGGTATTTTGTGTTGTAGTTAAACACACACGTACCAAAAGACTCTCAAACTTCTTGGCCTCAGTGATGTGAATCCAGCTGTCTTTTTCAATGACTTTGATGTGTTTTACTTCATCATTGAATCTGTAACACCACAGAGAAATTGTTTACAATTGAAACTGACTAAATTGTCCTCAACATTTTATCTGAAAACATTTAGTATGTTACTTTGCCTTTGGGGTTCAGCTGCTGTTAACATCAAATATTTAGTTGTATACCTGGAGGACTAATGAACCAAAATAATGTTCACAGTTATGGCACACTGTGCGACTTAAATTATTTGTCTTAACGCAGTTCCCTACAGCACCAGTCTTAAAGACTTGAAGACTGGCTATTCCCCATGAGATGTGGATAAAAACCTTGGGACTTTCTTCTCCTTCAAGATGTCAAACACTCACTTGATGCTGATGGCGAACCTCTCTGCCTCCGCTGTCCTCTCTCTGATAAGGTAGGTCCCACTGCTGTGGGATTTTAAAAGGTTGTCAGCTTGCTGGCGTTCCATGTTCCCTGCAAACCTACAGAGGAGCGGAGAATAAATATTGTAACCTCCTGATACAAAGTTAAATAATCGAATGACATCGAAAAGGTTTTACAAATCGTTAACATCAAACACCAATGCAGTAATTAATCTTTTGGTTGCGGTCATGTTTGGGGTCAGTTTGCTTTAAATTGAACTAGTGCATGAAATTAATGGTATACTAGTCATAATATGAATAAATCTGATGTAATTAAAGGATAGTGACCTCAGGGTAATAGCAGTATATAATGAACAGGGACTTAAAAGTATGAGGATGAAATAACCTTAAATCCACAACCTTCAGAAGATAAGGGTCTTACCATGGATATCCATAGTAGTCTGCTTCCCTTGAGGACTGCCGGCTCGATAATGACTGGAAGGGCTGTCATAAAAAAACAGAAACTGCACATTAAATAGCTTATAAACAAAAATAAAACCATAGTTAAGAAGTAGATCATTTATATGTATGTCCCACAGAGCAAGTTAAGTGTACACTGAAGAGAAACACACATACTGCAATGATTCTCTTCATCTGGGTGACTTACCTTTGGGTCCAGATAAGGCTTTACACATGAACTGGGGAAGAAGCCACTCTTTTGTGTTTGTATCAGCTTTCCCTGCAAGGTAAAGGGAAGTTTGTTCTTATTGCACTTCAAATACTGATGCAATTAAAAGTGCTTTACATAAGGCAAAGAAATGCATTTATTGTTTTAAAAACACAATGAAAAGGAAAGTAAATTCAATTAAAGTAAGGGATTGTGTCAATGTAGTTACAGTGCAGTAATAAATTGCCCTCGGATTTAACAGGAAAAAATATCGAACAGGACAGGCTTATTTTTCTAGAAAGAAAAACTTGTGCCAATGAAAAAATGAGGAAAAATCTTATAAAATCACTGGCAGTACTGGCTTTAACTGAATACACATTACACATTGATGCTAGGTGTTGCACCTTCAATTAAATGAACACATCTGTCAAGTTTGCCCATCAGCGCCAGACAGGCTTCAACGTCTGCTACCTGAAGCGATCGATTTTTAAGGTCAGCACACCCACTGACATTGCATGGAGAGATTATGCTGTCATGCGGTACAGGGATAGGAAGAGGAGGAAGCAGTAGGTGAGTTTAAATTAATGGCTTCAGAAAGTTGCCCTGAGTCACTTGGGGAAAAGCAAGCCTCACACAAGAAGCTGAAAGTGTGATTCAGCGTGTCACAAGTGCCCGGAGCAAGTACTGTAGTGTTGGAGCTCCTGTCATCCAGCCTAATATACTGTAGAGGATCGTCCAGGTTTGCTGGTAGAGCTTTATTGATGCACACTGGATTAAGGCAAGGTGTGACATTTTGGGAAAATACGCTTATTTGCTTTCTTACTGAGACTGTGATAAGAAGATTGAAACCACTCTTGCCTGTACGGTAAATTCAAGGCTACAGCCAGCTTAGCATAAATGTTGGAAGTGGGGGAAACAGCTAGCCTAATTAAAAATAATTAACACAGTATATCTCTTTTATTTAATCCCTACAAAAACTGAAGTATAAAAAACAAGTTGTGGTTTTATGAGGGGGTTTTGCGCTGGACTATTTCTTAGCCTTGCCACAGACTTCCTCATGGTGATGACAAGACTCCAGGAAGTTACTGCCAAGACAAAAAAGCCAGTTTTTGTATGGATTAAACAAACAAAATGTAAATTAGTTGGCTTTGGAGAGGCTTGGAAGTCAGATTTTGTTACGTTTGGACAGAGCCAGGCTCTCTTAAAAAGAGAGTTCTACCCCGGCACCCAGTATGGATGTGACCACCTTTAAAGCTGTAGATTAGCAGCTTTAATTTCATAGTCAGTGATTTGTTTCACAACATCAAATGTCTTAATAACAATATTCACACTTTATGTATCAAAGTGGGTGATGGCTTCAAATAGATGTGATTGACTACTGTACCTCCCACCACGGGGTGTCAGGATCTCCTTTCAGCAGCTCGATAAAATCTCCTGTTTGAAAAGAGAGCGGTGTCTTTCCCGGAGGTGCTGGTGTGCCATGGTAGTTCCTCACTGCCACCATCTTGGGACCTGGAAACACAATCAAGTGTTTGCAGTGAGTATTAATGGAGGTAAGTGGGAGGAACAGTGAAGAGATGAAGAGAAAAAAAAACATTAACAACATTAAATCTCACTTTGTCTGGACACAGTGCTGCTCACTGTAGTTTTGATATCCCTCTTAGGTTTCTCTCTTTTTTTTTAACATACCGATTTAGGCTGATAAAGGCTGTTTTAACATAAAAATCTTGCCTGCTGAGCACTGATACACACAATATAACCACAACATCCTGCGTTCAGATCTGATGCAGGATCTTTGTCACATGGTTTCCCTTTCTCTGTCCACTTTGAAGGATCTTATAAGGCAAATGCCAATAATTACAAAGAAGCAGGAGCAACACTGTCATTTGAAACGGTATCTCATTCTCTCCAGACCGACCAATGTGTGTTGATTATTCCAAGATACTGTAGACCAGCTATGAAATCCGTTTTATCTCAAGTTTTTGAATTTCAAGTAATATTTTAAGTATATCTCTCTGTCTATGCATTGCCACCCACTCTACATGGCTAATATTATTGTAGTGGGTCTCTCCACTAGATGGCAGTAGAGAACTGTGCTGGTAAATAACAGCTGTGTCTATAACAAACTTGTACTTGACAGCTGACAGAATATGCAGCTTCAAATTAACATGCTCTCTATGTTTAGGCGACAGGAGGTGTTCTCACCTGATGATATTCCAGGTTCCTAAACAAAGAGACACATATACTTAGTGAACAACATGATTACAATCAAAAATCCTACTTAATTTAATGATAAAGACAAAAGCAATTAGAGGATGATATTAATGATAATACTGCTACAGTACGGTGAAGAGGATGTACTCACCAAGTCATGAGGATCTGAAACAAGACAGAACAGACAGTAACAGTCAGGGAGGATTCACAACAGAACTGGCTACCATTATTGATTGTGCCTGATCTAAACTGCATATTCGAGTAGAACTACTTTCATAATATGGTTCAGGGCTTTGTGGGACTCTTTGTAATATGCTAAGTCAAGCAGGAAAGCAATTTTGCTTGTTTGGCTGCATTCTGGCTAAATCCTAGAAGTAAAGTGTACTGACTTGGCTGTAATTTGAGAAAACAGACCTATGAGTTTCTAAAGTTAGGTAGGGTAAATCTGTGGTTCCCAAGCTGGGGGCTGAGACTACTCCACTTCAACGTGTCACAAGATAAATCTGAGGTGAAACAGTTGATCAAGAGATAAATAAGAAAAAGAAAGCAGGAAAAACACAAAACATTTATGCTACACAAAAAATATTTACTTTTGTAGATGTATGTCAACTAGCTTTTTTTGTGGTTGTGAATAACTGGATCATTTCACTTCTTCAGGCCTCTAAAAATAATTAAAATAAAACATCACTACCATATGTCTAATCCTTAGACATATGGTAGTGATCATGATGGGTCACAAGTAGGCCTTGCTTCATGAAGCCTAAACGGTTCAGAATAACCAGTCTAAATTATCAGGGCTATATCAGCTGAAAAGGCTGGGCATATCAAGTGATGGCCAGATAATTCCTCCGGATTCCAAGTTGTGTTTTTCCTCTTTGGTACCAAACCCAGTGACACAACCACCGTCCCACAGGAACCCCACAAGAACCAATCCCCCATTTTCCTGCTGGATAAAGTAGCCTACAAGCAGGACAGTGTTCAGTGACAGCAGGTTTCTAATTGTGGACAGAGTGAAGTTTCATAAAAAAGAATTAACTTGCTCTAAATGGAAAAGATTAGCGGAAACACCTACTGATTTTGCAGATGGTGATGACTTCCAGACACTCTTTGTGTGCTCCTGTTCCACAGCGTGCGCAGTAGTAGCCCTGATAGAAGATGCCCCTAGAGGACACACACACACACCCACACACACACACATGCACACGCACACACACACCCACACCCATCAGTAATGCAAACAGGAAGTGTCTCAGACACAAATTAAATTCTTGTAAGTACAACACACAAGGGGAGCTGCTGTTTGTTACTGTAAGCCTGTGATTGTGGTTACACATGGGCCATCATTTCCAATTTGTGATCCTTTAAAATCACAAAAATAACTCGCTCCATTTAAAACCACGTACCCCAGAACTGTATTTGTTAGGGATACTGTAACACTGCATGTGTCGCACACTGCCGTGTTGAATAGTAAGTGCCATAAATCACGACAGGATCCGCTGGGGCTGCAGCAGTAATTAGCATCTAGCAGGGAGTGCGAACAATGGTCCCCGCTTCCACTGGCTCTGTGAATTTAGGTCAGCCAAGCCATGAAATTTGTGGGTCAATACCCAGAGTGGAGTTTAGCCTGCTGACTGTAATAGAGGTGAAAGTAGTGATTCAGTGACACGGGTTATCCCTGCTGTAGTCGAGCAGCACTCTCACTTGGGAGGAGGTGTGCTCAGGGTGGGTGGTGTTAGGAAGGAGAAAATATCATCCTCAGTCAGCCTCAGTCACAATTAGTTATTTTCTAGTTATTTAAGATTGCTTTGACACTAATGAGGGGCTATGGTAGCCAAAAACATATTCCCTCTGTGATTAAAGTCGGTTTGTTTGTTTGTTGCTCACCAAATGTGGCTAAAATATCTCTTCAGTTTAGCACTTCAATTCTTCACTCTCTTTTTTTTTGCTCGAGAGACATGTTTCAAGTGTTTAACCATGACTTTTAATAATACTACATTACATAATACTACATTTGCTAACAATGTAAATTACTACATTACAAATGCATTGCAGCAACACTTGTTTCAGGTACATAATTTTTTATTTTCTGTTACTTTATACTGAAACTCCACCACAATTCCCAAAGAAATATAAATTCTAATAACAATAATCGTACTTTTTAATGTAGTACGTACATTTAATTGTAGCTACTATAACTTTAAATATGACCAATTAAACTGTCCACCAGTACATTAAATAGACACAATTAAGGGTAACACTTTTTAATATAGCCTCTGATTTACTGACTATCTGGAGGAAAGGAAAGTCAATTCTACCACTGTTGTAAATACTGAGTAACTACAGTGTACAGCATCAGGGAACAAACCTGAAGTTTGGGGGACATGGTGTTACCTTTGGACAAAGCAAAGCTACTTGTTTTCCCGTCTTTGTTAAGTTAGCCGGCTGCTGTTGGTAGCTTCATATTAAGTATGGACAATGTTCTCATCTAACTCTCAGCAAGAACATAAATAAGCCTGTTTTCTTAAATGTTGAACTTTTCCTTTGAGTCAAATCAAAGTATTTAAGTAAATGATCTGACTTCACCACTGCATAAAACATGGAAATATGTACATGTGTATAAATGTTACATAAGCCCAGTCAGGGTGTTTAAAACAAGTGTGTGAAGTGTCTCCCCAGACTATACATATAACACTGAAAAAGAAATCTCTTTCACTACTGAATATTGTTGGATACTTGGTAGCCCTTGAAAATCTGGATGAAGATGCATTCATTATTCATTGTAGAATATGAATGTGCTGATATGCACATCAGCACTGGAGTTATCGGGGTTGTTACCTCAGGAGCATCTTACAAGCTCGACAGTTGGTGTTCTTATCAAACGTGTGCATCTGGAAGTTATGCTGATTGGCTGTGGCTCTCTCTGGCTTGATGTTGGACCTGGAACAATAATGGATGAAAGGAACTAATTAGCCAGGACAGCTTGTTTCTGTTTGTGGGGATGTGGTTTGATTGTTCTGGTGTTTCCTTCACTGGATTAGCGAATGAGAAACAGAAAGAGTTTAATTTTCAGCTAAGTTATTGTTTCGCAATTCAAATCTAATATTAAACGGTAGTCAACCCTTCCATGCAATCATACTCACATGGCCATGTCAAACTGCTCCATCCACTTCCTCTTGGTCTCCTCAGTTTTACAAAAGAACTGGAAGCCCTGCTTCCCTTGCAGGTGGATCAGGTAGAAACCATAAGACCACTGGAGAGAAAAAGTGAGTGTGGAACAGATGGCAGAGAGATATGTGGATGGTAATGAAAGAGACAGGCAAAGAATCTTGTGATACCTGCGTGTTCCAATCAATAAGTACAAAAACATACAGAAATATGATCACATTTAATTCTAAAAGGTGCTCCACATGCTTTAGCAATGCATCTGACCAAAAAGTGGACCAGTCACAGAGCTGGTGGGGTGCACGTGCAATCACGGCATGAGACCCAAAAAACCCCCAAAACAAAATTAAACACTGTCCATAATAGGCCACTATGAGAAGATGAATTAAATAAAGAGGTCATTTGAGCTTACCATTTTTCCACTTGACTGGTAAGCATGCAAAAAGAAAGACACCAGAGAAAGACCCAGTTACACATGCAAACATGGACAGACACATGCAGATTCAAAACAAAAAGCCATGTTAGATCGCTGGCGCAATGCACTGCAGTACGTTTTCATGAATCCTAAATGACCTTCATTGCTTTTGCATAGTCTTTCAAGCATGGACGGGCAAAATGCATGTCTGACACTTCAATGCATTACTCATAAGTTCCATATCTGGAAATTACCATCAACAAGGCGCTTCAGCTCAAGGGCAACATTTGTAATGATTACACAGGATGTTTCATCACCTGCACTAGCAAGGCTGCCTTTGTTCACTGTGGACGAAATTGCTCTGCTCTGTGTTTTTTTTTCATACTTAAAAGGATGATTCTTACCTTTTTCATGTCTCTGTTGTTCATTGGATCGTCCGACATTTTATAGGACTGCAGTTCAATAATCTCTTTGAGCTCATAGCTATAGCCTTTCCTCTTGCAGACAATGACCACTTTATCGAACAGGAATATATACCTGAAGACATACACACACATATTGATTGATAATTTCGCAGTGAGACTACATCGTTGCTGGCGTTGGCTTAATTTATTATGTCCTTTGCGTAGTTTGTAGAGTTTGGACTAACCGGTCCTGTTTTGTGCGGTTGATGATGGAGCACACCTTCAGCTCTCCGTCTATCTTGGGCCTCCCGTACTCCTCCAGTTTCACCTGCTGCTTAGGTCACAAGGACACACAGAATGTCAATTCAGCGCATACTATAGCTTCTAAATTTAATGAGAATTCCATAAATAATTTAGCAAAACTTGAATTAAAGGGAGAATTCAAATATATATATGATGAAGGATACAAATCTGTTATTTTTTCGTCCTCCTAATCCAAATTAGAAGTTATTTTTTCTATCTATGTAGTCCAAAATGAACCCAGTGACTATTTGCACCTCAGTTGGAAACAGAAGATGAGAGGTGAGGAGGAGTAAAAGTGGGAGGAGAGAGGAGAAAAACTGCGACAGAAAGACAAAGAAAGAGAAAATGGGAGAGTACTGAAATATTATGGGATGTGAACTTCAGTCTGGAAAGAACATAACTTCTCTCGGTCATATTGTTCAAGACTAAGTGATTTACTGGGGACATTTTAAAAGCGGAGGATCATGACAGGTGAAAGCGAGATGAATCCCATGTTCTTAGCAGAGGAAAGAAAAAAAGGGACGCTGTGTGACGCTCTGTGACTAATCGCACTGACAAACTTTAAATTCCAGCCTGGTGATAACATTAGTGCCAATGTATTTGTTTTTATACACAAGAACTGACTTCTTTAAAGATGTCGAATCTAGCATTAGAAATAACAACAGAGGCCGTAAAATTGGATTATAAATGATACAAGGTTCACACAAGGTTTTTATTTCATTTTCTAATTTCAGTGAAGGCAGGTGCCAAAGCAGGAGGACGATTCCTAATCCAAACAGACAAAGTTAGAAGCACCTGACTGGTTTACTATTGGTTTACTATACCATTAAAGCAATAGCATGTCATTTTGGGCAGAGATGACAAACCGATACCACTCTCATATCAGTCCTAGCAACTTCACGGTGACGGAGGGCCCCAGGGAAGTTAATGCTCCTGGCCAAAAAGTAGTCCGGCACATAACCCAGCATAATCACGCATGTTGTGACTTTATCACAAGATATAACGTGTATATTCGTGAGCTTTGTGCTAAGCTAATATAACCAAGCTTCATATTTAGTGTCCTACTTGAGTGGTATCCATCTTCTCAGCTACGTCTCGTCAAGAAAGCGAATAAGGGGTTTTCCCAAAATCTCAAAAGGCTCCAAACCGTTCCCTTAAAACATGTGTGCATAAATAAGCAAAGATGGTAAATCCTAGTTAATAAACGAATAATAGTTACATATAATAGTCACATTCAAACACTCTGATTGAAGCACTGTGTGGGTGCAGTTTCAGTAGGTCTGATTGATAGTTGGTCTCTCTGGCAAAACAAGCAACGGTCATCAGAGTCTGATTCTTATATTGTGAATATTGGTACACGTTTGAAAAGAGCACAGATAAAAACAAAGTGCAAAAATCGCTTCTGTGAAAGAACCAGTATTGCACTAACTTTGGCAGATGAAAGCATGTTTACGTGGGATCCTTTCTAGATCCCCATCTAGAAGCTGATTAACAAAAGAAGTTTCCAAGGCCCTTGAACACGGATTAAGTCAAACAATCTCAGGAAAAAGTCTCCTCTAGACGAAAAGGAAGTGACAGAGGAGCTCACAGTACTTACAAGATTTTCTATTGAACTTTGGAATTCGCTGATTTTCTTCAGCGTCTCATTGTCCCTCTTGACTTCATTGATGTACATGGCCAGGTCCTGACAGAGAAAGGCAAACGTTCTTTCAGCCCTCAACTGTAAATCTTTCTGACATCAGTCATATCATGGTAGATATACAGTCCTTTGAGCCACAGTAGCTGTATGAAACAATTTATACAGCTTTGCCTTAGAGTGCTATAGAGCTATAATGTGACAATGTAAGCGCACTCATGAACACACACACACACACACACACACGTTTAACACAAACCTGCATAGCCTCCAGAGCCTCCTTGAGTTGTTGTCTCTCTGGTCGGTCAGCTGAGTGACTTAAAAGTTCCTGTGGAGGGAGGTTATTATTATTATTATTATTATTTTGTAAACCTTTTTTTAACAGTTTGAGAAGAACAAATTCAAATTATATTATATAAAATTAAAAAAAAAAAATTTTTTAACAAACACACATATATATGATGCAAACATTGAATAAACATTCTAATGAGAGGGCTTTGTTGTAAGAGCTGCTCTTTACTGTGATTAAGGATGTGACAATGATGTGGCTCAGAATGAGTTCCAGCTGAGCACCGTCAACGGCAACATACATGAAAATAAAAGACAAGAGGAAGCCTGAGTGATTACTAACTGGCCTCCACGTCTGCCTATTCTTTATGGTAACAAGATAATGGTAAACGTGTTGTCCCCTGCAAATCAAGTTGTCCTCCGTATAGTTGATCAATAACAAATATGTTACTTTGTTTTGATCTGTGATTGGCTGCCTCCTCCACTGGCTTAGTGTTGCTGAGGAGTTTGAAATTGTATCTGCTGTCCAGTCAGTTGGCAAAACTAATCAGAAGTGTGACATATGACACATACATAAACAAAGTAGTGTACTTTAGTTTGTCTAGTTTTGTCTGAAATGTTGCACGAGACTGATAAACAAAATGAGCAAAAATACGAGCAAACAGAAGGAACCAACTTTGTCGTGCAGGACGGCTTCATATTTTGAACCTCACGTTTGTCAGACATTTGTCGTGTTGGAATATGCTGCACTTAATTGTTTGACCGCAACAGAATGCAGCATCTATAATCTATCTCTCTTTTTTCAGTTTTATTCGTTTTGTCATATTTTCCCATTTTTCCCAATTTGGAATATTATATAGCCCTGTTAATGGCAGTTTGTGTCTTGTCATAGCAGGTAAGGGACAGCTGTGAATTCAATACAATGCACAACCTGAACTGGAAAAACTAAAGGGAATGCAGACATGTGCTTTCCCTGCTATGACAAATCAAAATGTCTGCCTTGACAAAGGTCTATTCCCTTGCACTGTAGTTCCTGTGACTGCTAACTCTTATACCTGCTAGCATTGAGTTTCACCAGAGGGCATAACACTTTGGATACTATGCCACCCCAGCTCCTTCACCACTGTGCAGGCACCTTGAGCAGCCTGAACCATTTATTAGTGCAGTGACAAGGACATTATCCCTCACCGGCTTCCCACCAGCCGCAGCACCAGCACAGCCAAAAGGCAACTACTGCTATTGGACCCCATTTTACTTAAATTAAATTAAATTTAGTCTCTAGACCCACTGACTTTTTTTACTTTTGCATAGGCGAGACTGACCTGGTGACAACATGCTGCTGTACAGTCCATGTACTCAACTTAAGATGAAAGATGTGATCACATGGGTTCATAAAAACACTGCAAATTTATCAAATATTCAAACCCTGCTTGAGGATGAGGAGGAATTACTCCTGAGATGACTGTGCTGAATTCACTTTATTTAGAGTGCAGCTATGGTAGATAATAGATGAAGAGAACCCAGTATTCAAACCATGACCAAATAGGGAAACACAACTGTGATATCTATACAGATCAACTGAGGATGTGCCCTTAGGCATGACTGGACACACACACACACACACACACACACACACAAAAAACAGGACTTGTCAATCTGATGTGCCCCTAGGACACAGCATACAGCAGTGTTTTATCGCAAAGCTGTGGGAAGCAGTGAAATGGGGTGTGTTTAATCTGATTAGTGCACGGTTGATTTGACCTCCATGTCTTGCTGAGAGTTCTGCAGGGGTTCGATTCCAACTAATAGAGAAGTCGCAACACTCTCCATGTAGTCCAGCTCAATCAACCAATCACCTGACGCAAACAATCGCCTCCACCCCAAGTCCATTACGCACAGCATCATAAACTCATATTCTCATCCATAATTGAGTTGCAAAGCCAATTAATCATGGGGAATATTGCTTGTTTTATACACAAACAACAGGAGGCGAGCTGCAGGCAGAAATGTTGGCTGGGTTGTGAGTGGTCAGATATTGTGCTTATGTACATTTGCATAATAGGACAAGGGGCATCAGTGCAGGGCTGCAATTAAAGATAATAGCTACTAGTAGCTTATTATAAATTATATATATATTTTAAACAATCTGCACCAACCACAATGCAGATACACAGACAAGTTGCATTAAATGCCAAGAAGCAGTATGTGTGACCAAAATGTCTTTTTGACGTTACAAAGTGCAAGCAACAGTTTCCAAAATTGGCCAATTGTCACAAAAACAACAAACACAATTTCATGTGGTATGGCCAAAAAAGGCTGGGAAATGACAACAGGAAGGACCTTATCCAGAGACACAACTGTCACCAGTCAAATAGACAGGCTCGATGCAGGATAGTTGCTAAGCACCAGACGAAAATACAGCAGAAATGAATCATCATCTCTGTGAGAAGATCTCAACAAAACATGAGTCTCACAATGCTGGTGTTTACAGCTGGCCTGCTATTCAAGCACTGTTTGTGTCTCGATCTAACAAAGGAAAATGAATAACCTCGACTTTTGAGTGACAAAAAAAGTTGTGCTGTAATTGTCTTTGTCTGTAATTGTAATTGTCTTTTAGAAACCGAACAATTCCGACTGTGCATGTCGCCAACTGTTCAACATGAGAAAGAAACTACTGTATAACATGTGCCATATAATGTGAATCAAAAGGTCAGACAATTGCTTTGCATGGTCATTTAAGGACCTTCTCCATTCAAATCTCACTGGTTCTGTGAGGCAGAAAATCATCCGTTTATGTAAATCTTCCTTTGCTTTACAGACACAAGAGGAGCCCACCTATCATATTTTTTGGACATTATGCTCTCAAGAGTCTGTATATTTACCCCAAAATGATACTCCAGAAGTGCAGGAGTACATAAAAACCTGGATGGAAATTGACAAGCAATGCTGTCCCAATAAATCCCTAAATACACTACTTCTGGCAGAGATTTGGAGGTATGAGGAGGCTGCGACGTTTCAAAACATGATACATTTTTATTGCTGATTATAGCTTCCTCAACGAAGAAGCGAGCCACAAACTTTTCAGAGCCATCTTTCAAGCCTACAGGGGGTGAGTGTTTGATATTTAAAAGATGGAAAGTAAAGTGTGAAACAGCAGTTTCCATTCCATCTGCTTCAATCATCAAAGTGATGAAGACTTCCTTTCTGTAAGACCTGTCCAACATCAGACCGCAGACATTCAAAGAGCTGTAGAGCGTTCAAAGATGGATTAAATTTGTTCTGAACACAATGGTGGTTCCTACTCCAAATTAGGTGTAGCACTTTGATATATTAGTTGTTTCCTTTATTTTATCATGTGTAAAAATGACAACATAGGTTTTGCAGTTGGGATATTCCTCCTACCTTCAGTAGTAGATGATACTTCAGCACCCTCTGCATGGGAACCACCAGCAGATCCTGCAGCTTGAACTTCCCTTCCTGCACTTTCATAGTGCATTCCTGTATAGAACCACGACAAAAGCAGCGAGGCAATTATTACACATTGCATAATGCAGCATTGCACATTTCCTACTAACAATCAGTCATTCATTGTTCAGTCATTCGTTGTGTCTTGTTGCATTGCTGCGATTGCTTCCACACATTCATTGGGCATTCCAATAGCAGCAACAAGGCCAGTTTATTCTTGCAGGGCACAAAAGCTCTGGTCGTGCCTGCCATTTCTGACGCATTTATGCTGCATGCTGGCTGGGAAATTCCTCTGACTAATGAATATATTTCTAAAAACTCTGCACTGGCTCCCAAAGAAACAATCTTTTGTTAGTATCACCCCACAGTGGTTCTATTCAGTTTCTGTAACTGTGCAGTAACAGGGACAGCTTTCTCTCTAAGTTTTACCTAAGTAGTTTTACCCTGTTACAAGGCTCTTCTATTTTGAGAGAGAGATTCTCACTCCTTGAGCTGTAATCACCACTTATATTTTGTCAGCAGCTAGAATAGTCATTTCTTTGGCTTTATCCCTCTATTACAGTGTTGTGTTAGCCTTCCTCTTTGGTCAGTTCAGATTTTTCTGAAGAAGTAGAGAAGATCAGTGAATAATAGTAGGGCACAAAGAAGGAGGTCTTGCAGCAGAAATGGACTTTGAGTATCACACAGATTTAAATCATAAATGTAACACAACAACAAGACAACTACAAGATAAACGAGAAGCTACCAAACTAAACCTCTGGCAGTCAACAACAACAAGCCCACTAATACTCTTAATACTATATAAATGTAATAATGTTGAATGGAGATTATAACAAAAAAGAATGCATCAGAGCTGCTGAGAGCATATTTGCAAATTACATTTTGGCCTTTCTGATTTCATCTGAATCATGTTATGATTTATTCAACAGTAAATTTTACTTTCATACTTCATACTAATCATTTTCAGAGATGTCAGATTGGATAGTATTTCATTGCTAAATTTGCCTAATTGCTAATGGAACATGGTTACATGATGTAGTTTGCGTGTGCTAAAACAAACAACACAAGGTGTGTTCCCATTTATTAACTTGGTTTTGCTGTATAGTTGTATATTGAATGTGGTACTGACGCAACTTAGGTGCTCATGCCACCCGTATCTGGAACGATAGCCTGATGTGTGCGTTATAGCACTGGTGTACAAACAGATGTTTTATTGTGACGGTGGCAGAAATATGTTTGCATTGTCTTGTGGCTTCAAATGTGTTTGCTGAGTATCATTTTGTCAGTCAAGCCCCTGGCTCATACCACCTCAAACATTTCCAAAAGATCCCTTTAAGGGTTATATATCACAGGTTTTTATCTAAGTAGGTCCATAAGTAGCCAGATGCGCTGAGCCCAACCTCCTTACTTTTATTTAGTGTTCACTGCCTGCACTGTAATCCATGTACTTTTTTCATGAACAGAATCAGTGGGATGTCATCTGTTTCGGGTGAGCGGTGAAGGACATTACCTCTACTTTAATCTTGATGTCCTCTCGTGTTGCTATCAACTCATCCAGTGTCTTCTGGGCGTTCTCCATATGGCTGCAGTACTGACCATAGATCAACAACCTGGTGAAGGACACAACAACAGCCGTTAATCTAAATACACGGTCACAGCTTGTCGTCCTTTGTGGGGCGGAGAGAGGAAATGACACATTTTGACAAAGTAAACACTATAAATAATTGTAGATGATTGTTTGACGTTGGCTCCTTCTGCCAGGTCTATTCACATTGTGCCCCATGAAGACCTACAACCCAATTTTTTCACGTTTGTGTTTGTACCTTAAAGAAGACTGGACAGTAAGGTTGGCACAATTCACACACCTCTGAAAGCTCTCTAAGTCACCAAACTCAATGTTTTTTGAAAGCAAAGACAGCTATAAAAGCAGTCTCCCACACAAACCCCTCTGCAGCTGAACACATCTTAAAAATGTTTGAGCTCCAAACGATGAAACATTAATGTCTGGTAAGAGAAATCCACTACTGAGATTTTGATTCAGATATTTTCTGCTTCTCCACTGGGCGTATGGGAACATCTGAAGACATGCGGGCTAATAAACCTGTTCACTGTACTGTTAAAGATCTAAAAATGAGGCGTAAGGACTAATGAGGCACGTCTTCATTTTCAAAATGTGGGAAATATATTTCTATTCAAAGAGGTCCTTTTCATTGGCAAGGGAAACAGGCGTATACAGTGCCAAAGCATGTGTGCAATAAAAACAAAATATGTTTTCATAAGCAGAAGAATTGTGATTTTGCTTTATATCCCAGCTTTGTAGAAACACAGAGACAAAGGAGATGTTAGAGTCCACAATTAGCTGTGAACTGGCTATTGTCTTGGAGCATTTAGGCAATAATAATAATAATAATAATAAGCTTTATTTATATAGCACATATCAAACAAAGTACAAAGTGCTTCACAACAAAACACACATAAAATACAAAAACAAATAACCACGTGGGTAAAAGATACAGGGGGATAAAATACAGAATATAAGAACAAGGATCACAATAAAGTATAACAAATATATTCAGTAGGAGGTAGGAGGTAAGGAAGATAACACAAGCAAACAAAGTGATAAGAATGGTAGGGCAGGACTAGTAAAGTGGCAACCGAGTGGCAGCTCAGATAAAATCGGGATATGCTTTCCGGTAAAAGTAAGGTAAGAGATTTGAAAGTAGAAGCCGATCCTGCCAGCCTAATTTCCTCAGGCAAGTCGTTCCAGAGCCTGGGGGCCCTGATAGCAAATGCTCGGTCACCTTTTGTTCTTAGTCTGGCTCCAGGAACAGACAAGAGGCCCTTACCAGAAGATCTTAGGCCACGGGAGGGCTCATACAGAGTTAAAATATCTAAAATATAATCAGGAGCCAAGCCATGAATAGCCTTAAAAGTAATGAGTAAAATCTTAAAATCAATCCTAAAACAAACAGGGTGCCAGTGCAATGATGCTAAAACAGGGGTGATATGATCATATTTTCTTGTCCTAGTTAGGAGCCGAGCAGCTGAGTTCTGTACGGTCTGTAATCTATTTAGGGTTTTCTGATTAAGGCAAGTGAAGAGGCTGTTGCAATAATCAATGTGTGAGGAGATAAAAGCATGTATAACAGTTTCTGCATCTGTAACATTTAAAATAGGCCTTATTTTTGCGATATTTCTAAGGTGGTAAAAGCTGGACTGGACCAGTTTAGAAACATGATGCTCAAATAGTACGCCAAGATTTCTTGCAACGTGTTGTAGCAGGTAGCCAGAAGAGAGCAGAATTTGATTGCAGAGATGTTGGGGACCTATAACCAGGATTTCTGTTTTATTGGAGTTAAATTGTAGGAAATTATTTGACATCCAATGTTTTATGTCGGTAAGGCAGTCCTGTAATGAACTCAGCATACTAAGGTTGGTGGGCTGTACAGGTAGGTATAACTGTGTATCATCCGCATAACAATGGAAGGAGATACCATGCCTGCATATGATATCACCCAGAGGGAGCATATATATAGAAAACGAAATAGGTCCAAGGATTGACCCCTGAGGCACACCGTAGTTGGTGGTAGAGAAAGAAGATTTAAAATTATTTATAGAGACACAAAACTTCCTATTGGATAAGTATGAGGCAAACCAGTTCAGAGCAGTACCAGATACCCCCACCCAGTGCCTCAGTCTGTTTAACAGGATGCCATGATCAATGGTGTCAAAGGCCGCACTTAAATCCAGCAAAAAACAGTATTGAATATTTGCCAGCATCAGCGTTCATTAGGAGGTCATTAGCAACTGTCAAGAGTGCTGTCTCAGTACTGTGATGTTTACGGAAGCCAGACTGGAACTTTTCAAAGATACAGTTATTTTCCATTAAAGCAAGGAGCTCTTTTCAAGGGTTTTTGAAAGAAAAGGCAGTTTAGAGATTGGGCGGTAGTTATCAAGGATGTTGGGGTCAAGGCTAGGTTTCTTTAAGTCAGCTTGTACACATGCCGTCTTGAAGTAGACCGGGACACAGCCAGTAGATAATGAGCTGTTAAAAATTAAAAGCAGGTGTGGGCTAACATAATCCAAAACTTCTATTATAAACTTTGCAGGAATCAGATCAAGAGAGCTAGAGGAAGGCTTCATCTTCAACATAATTTCATAAGTTCTGCCATGGTAATAGAAGAAAAGGAACTCCAAGGATCCTGGGTAGGGTGCACAACATCTAAAAAGGCAGGGTTTGGGCTAATACTGGCTCTTAATAATTCCACCTTACTGACAAGTGTGTTAAAAATATCTCTCAATCTGCATCACAATCAGCAGAGGCACAGGGAGAGGCAGGGTTCACCAACAGATCGAGAGTCTTAAAAAAGAAAACTAGGATTGTGCTGGTGGACAGCAATAAGATTTGAGAAATGGTGAGCTCTTTCATCTTTTACCAACCTATTGTACGAATATAGTAACTCTTTCATGGCCGTGAAAGGACCTGGAGACCTGATTTTTTTTTCTCACACATTTTTCTGCATTCCCATTTGCAGCTTCTGATATATGCATTTAACCAGGGTTGCTTTGCAGATTTTAAGTGTTGTTTTTCAGAGGGGCTATGAGATCAAGGGTTGAGGAACAGAGGGAATTAAAATAGTTGACAATATCATTAGTGGAGGAGATATCAGATATCACATTGCTAAATGAACTGAAGAGGGCACCAAATTTAGAGGCGCTCTGCTCATTTAAACTGCGGGTTTGTTTTGATAAAGACTGGACAACACCAGCAGCCTGTAGTTCACAGTGGAAATGAATGACCTGATGATCATATATAAAGATGTCCTTAATTTCTACAGCGGATATCTTCACACCCAAGCTAAGGACCAAGTCTAAAATGTGGCCATAGTGATGAGTTTGGCTCGACACATGTTGAGTAAAATTAAAAGAATGAATGATACTTAAAAAAACAAGAGCAGGGAGATTTGAAGACTCGTCAACGCGAAAATTAAAATCTCCACAAATACGGGATTCTATCCTCATATAAAACAAGATCAGATAAAAATTCAGGGAATTCCAGCATGAAGGGATCAGCTGGATTGGGGGGGCAGTAGATGGCAGCAATTAGGACCGGTGGGGGAACCACCAAGTTTGAATAAGAGCACTTCAAAAGAAGAGTAATGTTACACGGAGTTTGAGTGCATTTAAAGTGCTTTCTAAAAACAGCCACAATGCCACCCCCACGGCCACTCTCCCTGGGGCAGCTAAAATACACGGCACATTAATTTTAAGATTAATAACACAACTTGAGAGGTCAGCCTGAGAGTCATTTTGCACGATAGGGGGCAGACAAATGAATATGTGAATAAATATATTATGATTAGGAATATATGTGAATATCATGAATAAGTAATGACTTGATTCTGTTCCCAGGGCAATATGTGGAGGGGTGGCATCCTCTTGCCAATAAGCTGTAGTCACAGAGTAATGAAAGACGCTGCTTTATATCAGCTGCTTTGCAGAGTTCCTCTTATCAGCGTGTGAGGAAAATAAATCTCTTAATTTCAAGCAGTGAGGATATGAGAGCGGCGTTCATTAGATATTACAATGGGACCCTGACACAGATCTGTGGGTTCAGCTGGGAGGAAGTTCAAAGTCATCTTGCCTGGAGGATGCCACTGCACGTGGCACACATTCCTCTTGCTCACTCACTGAGTCAAAGTAGGACATTGGCACGGCTGGTATAAAGCTAAACCAAGCCCCCCTCCATCCCGGCAGGGTTGGCAGTCTGGTCTCTTAATCTGAATCTTGAGTGGTGCAGAGAGCTGGCACCCTGATGTCTAATCAAGCCTCTGATAGATCTGCTACACAGAGAAGAGCAGCACGGCAAACAGACCGACAAGGGAAAGCTTGTATGATGGAGCAGTGTTGCAACTACAGGGGGAAAAAACTACATCACATGATTCTGGCTCACTACACACAGAGACATCTACTATGTGTTATATTCTTAATTTTAAGTTTAAGACTTGCTTTTTTTTTTACATACTTTCACTGACAAATACTCGTCTTTTTTAAAGGAGCACATCAGTTTAAACTTTCACTTTAAGGCTTTATGTATTCAGCTGTTGTTGTATTTCCTGCTGCAAGAGGACACAGTCCACTGTAGTTTACAGTAAACAAGGTCCTCTTGTAACACAGCTCTGAAACACTTTCACTAAAACAAAGAAGAAGATGGGGGGGGGGACTTCAGCTGGATAGCGCTGTCTAAATGACATTACTAAGCAAGTTATCATTTTTACTTTTAGACAACATTTTAGCATTCACAATTATTGGATAATGACACAGTTGCGGCAATAAAACAGATGTTGCTCTAAAGTATGGTTAAAAACGTACTGACACGATTTTACAAATTCTGAAATAGAAAAATACAAAAAGATTTGAAAGGATTGCAGATTGACTCCACTGCTCTCAAAACACATTAGTACGAACTGAGAGGCCCATTATTAATAGAAAATCATTTATTTAAATTCATACTGTTGAACCAGCAAATGCTCTGCTCGACGAAGATCTACCAGTGCTTACCACTGGAGCACAGGCGGAGTTTCGACAACAGCCACCCTGCAGTGACGCT